CCCCCTGCAGGACTCTGATCTGTGGTGAACAAACAGTTAACAGGAGTCTGAGCTGCTGCTGCTGCAGTAACATGGTCACTCTCCATCCGGCAGCTCACACTCACAGGACCGGAGGAGGAGGAGGTGAAGCCGGGGACCATCACACACACACGCCGGCCGCTGACTGCACCACCACCACCGGCTCATCCAGAGCAGCCTCTCCACGGGACAAGACCCGATCGTCCGGCCTGTGAGCTGAGGGAGACACCGCAGAGCCTCCGGACTGAAGGTACAGAAACAACCTGCACTGTGGATGATTCATGTCTGCACCGCGACATGTGTCCTGCATGTCAGTGGCATGTTCATAACAACATACAACTACATGTTCTCTGTAACTTCATGCTGCATGTTTTGTTTTTATTTTAAATTCACGCAGCGTTTAATGGGAGTACGCGTTTTGCTTTCCTGAACGAGCGTTTGCCTGCAGACTGGCAACTGCAAAAGCGTTTATTTTTAAATCTGTCGTAAAACTAATCAATTTTAACTCATGCAAAAAAAGAACTGATGATTTTATTTAAATTCCGGACGTCGTGTTTGTAATTCGGCGCGGTTTTTATGCGTATTTGTCCAATTCCACTTGTTAAAATATTGATAACTTGCGATGTAAGCCCCCAGTCAGGCGCCTGTGAATCTAATAGAGACTTGTGGGTTTCAGTGATGCTTCATGAGGTTTTTAAAAGTGAAAGTGTTTTCATGTATCCCGCATTTAACATGAATGTTGGAGGGTGTTGATTATAATTTGCAGGGGGGGGGTACCGCACCGCTCAGGCGTGATGCTGCAGCCGGGGCCTGCAGGGCACTGACCGGCCTGTGGTTTCCAGGGGACAGAACAAGATGACTTTAGACTTCCAGTGTAATTACCCCCAGTAAAAACGTCCCACTGAGCTGATTCATCACTGCATCTGTTCTGCAGGGTCACATCCATTCATCCATTCATGCATTCATGCATTGTGCAGGGAAACAGGGCTAAACAGGGACTGGGGGTGGGGGGTGTTTCCAAAATCCCTCATTGATTTATTCCATATAAGGGCTGGAGTTCACTTTGATCTGGGGTGAGATTATCCCTGCTGCTGCCTGTTAGCCTATATTCCCCCCCTCAGATTTACACTGACACACTGTATTGACATTTTTTGGGCCTATTTATAATCCACGCTGCAGCCTTCACATGCAGCAAGGACACACACACAGGTTAGAACAACACTCAGACCACGAGGACACGTGGTCCAGAACGTGGGCGACAATAATCCAGATTATAATAAAGAGTTTATTGTGTTGGGACTGGTTCTACTCTCGTTCGTGATGTTCCCTTGATGCTTCTTTCAGCTCTGGACACACAACACAGTGTCTATACAAATCATTCACCCTCCTCTGAAGTGGTTGTCCTCAGTCCTGCGGCGTAAATTTATGGCCGAGGTGTCACACTGTCACACTGAATGAAAAATATTGGCCGTTGATAAAGTGGTTAGTGTTCTCGATTCAATTTGATTTGAAGCAGGAAGACAGAATAACTTCTTTAACAATTTTATTGTCGCTACTTTGGCTACTCTAGGAATCATCCAGAGTATTTGACATTTGACCTCAACCCCCAACAATGATTAATCAGAAGTTACGCTCTCACCTAACATGGATTTTTCTTTACACTGATCAACAAAGAGCTCGTTCAGACCTGCTACAAACATCCGTCCTGATCGATCTGATCACATGTGGACACAGGAGACACATTCAGGTGTGAATCTTAGAGCTTGTCCACCGACACCAGGTGTGAACAGAGTTTTTTAAATGTGTTACGGATTCTCTTTTTCATTTCTATAATATTCCAGTGACTGTGATTTTGAAAGTGTTGCATGATTAAGAAAATGTTTTGTAAATCAGCTGATTAAGTCAAGTTATGTTGTAACGCACAAATACATTATAGGTGAAGACTATTGGATACACGCTGTGTGTGTGTGTGTGTTGCCCTCGGACACATGTAGTGCGTTCACTATCTACACATGTGGGATTAAGGGTCTGTGGCGAGTTTGTGTCCAGGATCCGTCCATGTTTGTATAAGTTAGTTTTTAAGCACCTGACTTTTAAGAACAAAGCCATATAAGCTCATTTTACTCTGGTCCAACACTCCAACAGAAATATTTATTGAAAGTAAGCTTCAAACCTTCTTTAGTTTTTTTTTTTCTGACCTAAAACTTTTTCCACAGCAGCCAGCTTCAATTATAAATTGTCAGTGATTGATCATAAAGCATCTTTCTCTGCACAGATTAACATGCATCCCTCCATTAGAGGCATTTCTCTCTTCTCGGCATAGCGACGGCCACTAAATCTCCTGCTTTTCCTGTGTAGCTGCTCCAAGATTTCTAATCCATGACCCACATGCTATTCAGGACAGAGGGCTTAGCTCCCATGTAGGGTCTCTCATTAAACTGCAGAGAGCTCAAGAGCTGGAACGAGTGTGAGGAGGGGGGAGAAGAGAAGGGGTGAGAGTGAGAAAAGGGTTGATTCTTTCAGAGAAGTTAGAACCGTAAAGGTCAGTGTGTGTAAAGGGGATTTCAGAGATGTTTATTGTGTGATTCAGAGTGAACGAAGGTGATCAGGAGACCCCTCCTCCACTCCTGAAACTCAGATAACTCTTAAGATGAGATTCAAAGTCAGAGTTAATCAAGTTTAACCCCGGAGCCATCACGACTCATCAGACTCAACTCTGTACTGTAACGTCACTACGTGTAATGTGAAGGTTGTTTTTATCCAATGTTTGAATCCCAACATAACTAGAAAGTCATTTACACTCTTCATCTCAGAACCAATCATCAGGATATTGGAAGAATATCAAATATCGACTACTAATTCAATATCAATACAGTTTCTCCTTTGTGTTCTTCACTGTGTGCAACTGATCAATCAAAAAACTGATTGACCAACTTTTGACAAGTTTTAGGCAGAGTATTGTGATGTCATATTAAATATAAAAATGTACTTTTATCGCAGTACAGCACAACTTAAATACTGTGATATTTACAAAAAAGAACCTTTTCACAAACCAAGAACGTTTGACTTGACTGTGACACAAACTTAAACAATTGGAGAATGATAAGAATAATGATAATAACCTTTATTTATACAGCACTTGTAAAATATGTCTTTGTTTTATAGTTTTATTTTAGGAGGTACTTTTTTTAAATGATCAGAATATTGATATTAATTAATGAAATATTTTGCTGAAACGTTTAATGTTTAATGCATGTGTTTGTCTGCCTGATGTTTGATGTGTTTCATTTATTATCCTGATGTTGATCCAGTATTTTGTGTTATGTTACAAAAAAAAAAGGACTTTTTTAGTTCATATACACGACGTGCATCTTCTTTACTTTCTCCGAGACAACGAGTTATGAACCTCAGGTTTTATTTCCACACAGTCAGCGAGTTGAATCTGTGAGATCTGAGCCGTTCAGAGTGCAGAGATCTCTCCTCCCTCCTCCTCCTCCCTCCTCCTCCTCCCCCTCCACTCAGTCGATGTTCCTCAGGCTTTCACCTTGCGCATATCGAGAGAATGCTTACTGTAAAGTTATATGAGCCTCTATCGGCTGTGCTGCGTCTGGCCTTTTGGTCTCAGCCCTCATGGCGTCTGTATCATTCCATCAGAGACCAAACTTGTTTGAGATGCTCAGATACTTAATACGTCTGTGGGAATCTCAGGATTTAGGGCGGGAGGGAAGGATGCTGGTTTGTAACCCAGCACAAGCTCAGAATGCTGTTATGGAAATGAAATGTTCTTATATCCTTTATTTGTTTAAAAAATATTTTTGCTGCAAATCATTCTCGTAGCTACCAAAGCTCTGTGCAGGAACGTTTCCTTAAACCTTATATCGAGAGGAGCGCCGGGAAATCCATGTGAAACCATCTGGCACAAAAATATTTTGTTTTTTAGATCATCGCTGAAAGTTGCAGCTTCTTTATAGCCCAGTCCTGAAGCTCCTGTCCTGTCCTGAGTTTTGCTCTTCTTCCAAGACTCTTAACACAGATAATTCCACGCGCCACAGTGATGCTAATGCTAATACATTTCAAATCAATGAAAGATAAAAGCACCAACAACTCAAAGACGTTCGGTTTACTTCGTCTGAGAAGCAGGAATCTGAGAATGTCTTTGAAAAATGTTTCCTAAAAGGAAAAAACAACACTTTTCAGCCGGACATGTTATACTTCACTTTGTTTCCAGCTGACCCTGCAGCCTTACAGATCGTTAAAACCCCTGTCTGCCTCAGACTTGCTCCGTGCGGACCAGGACATGTGACGCTGCTCAGAGTGAGAGTCAGTTTGCTGTTTCAGGAGTCATTGATCGGCCTCTTCTATTGATTGGGCTTAGTTTATTTTGTGCTTCCTCTGGAGTTTCTCTGACACCCCCGGCCCTCATCCTCTATTATACTCCGACCCACAAACCCCCCTCTCCTGACACACACCTCTCATCACTCTCTCCATCACTGGCTCACTTGTGGTGACCAGGGGCGTTACAACAGGGTACGCCAAGAAATCCCCTGGGGCCCCTGAGCTGGGAGGAGGCCCCAGAGGACAGCTGATTACATTAGTCCAAGACAATGACAATTTTGCAACTGGGGACCCAAAGTCCCTTGACACGCTCCTAGTTGCAATTCACAATTATTGCTCCAACGATCAATTCGCCAGTTATTTTCTTAACCGTCTGTGATGACCACAGTGATGTCTTCAGTTTGCTTGTTTTGTCGACTAACTTCTACAAACTTAATGATATTCAATTTGATGTCGTAAGTGACCAAAAAATGAAGAAATGCAATGTTAACTGAAGTGAAAATAATTCCTGGATCCACCCCGATTCGGATCCACAGCAAAATGTAATGGGTTCTTCCCTGAACTATATCACATCCTTTCACCAAATTTCGTGGTAATCTGTCCTGTGGTTTTAGTGAACTCACTGACAAACATACAAACAGAATGATCTAAATCTTGGATTAATGGTTCATTGACTCACCATTGCATCTGAAAATGCACGGTATTATTTGAACTATTGATATTATATCTCAAATAATTCATACATCTTCATATTCTTTGTTTTGTTTTTGCCATTAACAGCTCAAACACAAAGATATTCAGTTCATGGTGTCTGAGAAGAAAGAAAAGCTGCACATACTCATATTTATAAACCTCAAAAATGCTTAATCATGTCTGATACTCAGCAGTTTTGCTCACTAGCCTTAAATCTCCTGTGTTTTCGTGACGATAGATACGACTGCAAGGTCACGTTCCTCACAGCTGCTGTTTTCACCCGTGGTGATGAAGCAGGGGTTAGGTCACCTTGGTCACAGGCACTTAACTGCATTGGATACTGCTGACTTCTATATGCTGCACCGCAGCCTCCCAGAGTGACCTTCCAAAAGTCTGCATAGGCCTGGGATCAGTGCCACAGCCAAAGCCCGAGAGCGGCGGTGGCGTTACATGAGGACGGCTTATATAGTGACGCGAGGTCAGCGGCGTGTTGTGTTTCTGATCAGATGTGGTTGTCAGAGTTCACAGCTGTCGGCTTGATGACGGCACAGTGAAGTCTTTGTTTTTCTTTCATTTGAATTCGACCTTGGCCGAGTCTCGTTGCTGTGGTTTCCTCGTGCTTGTCTTTGTTTACCTGCTGACATGGGAGTGTCTTATTGACGGACCTGTCCGCCTTGTTTAAAGGTTGGTTCTCGCACACTCCCTTTCTCTATTATCCTCTTTCTCTTATGTTGTGTTCTTTATAAAACACACACACTGAGCCGGTGTCTTCCCTCACATGTCCTCAGACAAACCCCTGGCGTCAATTCTCCCATTGGTCATGATGAGGTTTAAAAGCAGACAGCTCTTATCACATCTGCCCTTCTGTTCACCCTCACACTGTGATGTCCCATAGCAGGGTTGAATAGAGGGTGATGGCGCAGCGGGTTGCCACAGCGAGAGGCTGGCAGAGGCCTCGCAGATCAATACATTGGGCCGACGAAAGAGGCGCTGGGGTGTCGGGTCGGGGGGGCGATATCTGTCAACAACAACAACAACAACGCCCTGTGTGCGAACTGTGTCATGCTGAGGCAACAAGTCAATAGATATGCTGCACAGACAGGGTATGTGGGGGTGTCCTGGGGTTTTAAAAGCCAATTCATGCTTCTGCGTCGAAGCTGCGCTGTAGTGTTTACGTAGACGTGCACCCTACGCTGTTGCAGACCGCCTGAACTGTGACTGGTCTGCTTTGTAGAATCACATATCCAGCGGACTCACAGCCATTTTTGAGTTGAAGGAACGAACACGGATGACGTTTCTTTTCTTCGTTGCAGTTCTTTAAGAAAAAGATTACTCTTCCAACTCCAACACGATAACACTCACTGTTGTTCTGAAGTAAACAGAGACCAGGACCAGAAACCAGAAGACACTCAACACCAGCGACTCTAGGACCACTAGCTTTGTAATTTAAGCTCCACATTCATCTACGCACAACTACTCTTCCCTGTGCATAGGCTACGTGCGCACCTGCTGCGTAGCTTCGATGCAGAATTATGAATTGGACATGAGACTCAGACCATGGAAACAGTGCAGTGGCAGTCTAAGTCCTGCCTGGGACCTTTGACTTATGTCATCTCAGGGTCTCAGCTCTGGCTCACAAACGCCATCTTGAGCATGCGAGCCAGGATCTGTGCGGTAGCCAGTCCCCGCCAATACACACTCTCGGCCAATCGTGAGTCAGTCTCAGCTGTTTTATAGCATCAAATAACTAATTAAAACCAAACTATTTAGAAACATAAACACTTGAACAAACATCAGTGTAATAAAAGCTACCTAAAATGGCAGAAACCAATCTTTTGATTTTTTACTTTAACATTTAAATTTGGTCACCGTCCCCTTTGTTAACATGGAGGAGGTTGGGTCTATGACCTATGCAGCAGCCAGCCACCAGGTGGCAGTCGAGATGGTTTGGCATCTCTTTTGAGGAACCAGCCGTCATATCGTCCAACTTATTTACGGTTGACATCCGGCCTCTCTGTTCTCAGACCAGCTAATAATTACATAATTTGGTTTGTACGGACAGAAGTGACGTACGTGTTTATTTGAAGATGGAGCAAGGAAGTGAGATCTAATCTCAAGTGGCCACAGGAGACACATTTTAGCAGCAGGTGTGAACACATGAACTCAGAGCTGTCCACTTGTAGTCAGATCTCAACGGATATTAATACCAGGTGTGACCAGGGCCCATGGTAGACGATGACGATGATTTATGAATATAAAACATTTGTTCAAACAGAAATTACTCATCTAGAACAATACAGGCATGTGGGCGGTGGAGAAATCTCCCACACTTTGTCAGCACATGCAGTGAGAAATGACTTCTCACTATTTAAAGCCTCTAGAATTTCATGTGAACCTGGTTTAACCTCTCCTGAAGTAGCTCATCACCGCACATGTGTATCAGCGAAGACAGAACCATCAGCCAGACAGAAACACATTAAGATTTAATGAAATGAGGAGTGATGAGTCCCGATACCTCACCAGCATCTCCTCAGATCTCCTCTCCCCCCCTTTAACGTGTATATATACATGTTTGGCAGGAGGTTCGGTGTTACTCAGCCAAACGTCGCATTCCAAATTGTTTTTTTTTTTTATCATTAGCGGCTTAGTGGGCATGTGAGCGCTGAACAAATGGTGCCTGTGCAGGCGGCAGAGAAAGAGACGAATAGAAAGAGAGAAGGGGGGGAAGTGAATTGTGAAAGAGGGAGAGGAAGTACAGCGGGGGGGTGGGGGGGATTAAAGGCATGTGATCCTGAGATGAGAGGAGAAAGTGAAAGAGAAATCTCAGATCAGTGCTTCAATACAGAACAATGATTATTGAACTCATAGGTTAAAGGTAATTTATGTAAGAGTTTAATGTTCGAACAAGGCTAGAACGAGCAGCCCATTAGCTTAGCTTAGCATAAAGACAGTAGACAGGGGTAAACATCTGTCCTGCCTCTGTCTAATTTTATTAAACTGAACCAATCACCTTGAAGGGTCACAGATCAACACAGTACATCTGGTCTGTTTAATCTCTACCACACATGAGGGATAAAAATGTCCCCACAGTCTCCACGACACTGGAAATATAAAACAGTTTTGACGAAAAGAGAGAATTTGCAGTTTTTTGTATAACTCTAACATGAATAGAAGGTAAAAAATCTAAAAGTAGTCAGGGGCACTATTCCTTCAAAATGTCATGTTTTTCAAACCAAAGTTCACAGAGAAAAGTCAGTTTATTATGTTTAATTATATTAGGGAACTTATCTTAGATGGTATGTTGCAGTGAAACATTTTTCAGTGTCTAGTTCTGTTTAAAAAGGGTAAAACAATATGTCTAGGATCTTTTGGAAAACACTGTTTGACCCCGACGTGTTTGGATAGATGAGAGGGAGAGCGGGAGCGTTTCCCAGGCAGGCGGTGAAAAGATGGTGTGAGGGTTGAGAGAGGTCAGTTGGTCCCTCGCTGTGGCCCAGTTCCTCACATGAAACCCTTGTTCCTTGTTTGGGAGAAATGTGCTAATCCCCATGGACCCACTCTGGGCCCCCGCCAACCTTTGAAGACAAAAAGACCCACAAAAAAAATCTGCTTTTGTTCTTCAGACGAGCTTTTGTGTTTCTAACCTCACTCTGAGCTTGTATTTTACAAAGCTGTTATGATCCACTGTACGACGGCTGCTGTTTCCTCTGGAGGCATTGACTCGTAGATGATACACACTCAGTGGCCTCCTCAGCTTTGTGCTCTTTGAGCCCTTCAGTTTGATGCTGTTTGCCTTCAGTGCTTTTTATCCGATCTGCTGTGTGATAAATGGAGTAGAGGAAGGATCCAAGCCTGCGTGGGCCTCCTCACACCTGACACCAAAGACTATGTGCAGGATTTGGAATAAGAGCACATGATGTAGGCAGTCAGATGATACAGCTATACCTTACATAAGAAACCCCCTCAGCCAGTCAGTAAATAGCAGCGACTGAGGGAAGGCTGTAAGTTCTCTGCAGTGTCTGGTTGAATCTCTGTGATGTCAGTGTTTCATCACCCTGTCCTTAATTGAACTTTGGCTCAGCACCATTTCTAAATAACGATTTTATTCCTGGTTGATTTGGCGAAACATTTGTTAGATACATGTTGACCAGTTTGTGGCAGTCCACTCTGAAGTCACCCATTGTTTGGTGAATTGTCGTTTTGAAGATTTTGGCATTTTGTCCTGCGCCATCTTGGTTTTTTGAACCTGACAGCTCCTCGAGGACACTGCACACCCTCCTCCACCTGCAACCTGCACCCATTGGATGGTCCTAGCTGTCAATCACATGATATCCATGTCCCAAAGCATGCACAGCTTTGTTTCCTATTTGACTCTAAATGGGAAAATCGTTGACTAAATGAACATCATGCTGTGTTGAAGAAGTTAGAGATTGAGACAATAAACTCTTCAGGAAAATGTTTACTGACTTTATAAGTCAAGTGAGTCATTTTTTCTGAATCTGAAACATTGAAATCATTTTGAATTTATTAAACTGCAAAACCAAAATTGTTGGACCAAGTTAAAAAACGACATCTCAGTTGGTAACTCTTTTTGTCTTATTTATATATCCTATAATTTATGACCATATTTATAATTTCTGTCTTTCTCTTCCTCACCCTCAGACGTGCATCTCATTACCACAGTCAGAAAGGTTGAGAGGAGGAAGGATGGTGACCATGGAAACCCCGGAGGCTCCTGTGCCCCTCACAGCACTGTCCCGCTGGTACCTCTACGCCATCCACGGCTACTTCTGTGAGGTCATGTTCACCGCCGCCTGGGAGTTTGTGGTGAACTGCAACTGGAAATTCCCCGGCGTGACCAGCGTGTGGGCGCTCTTCATCTATGGCACCTGCATCCTCATCGTGGAGCGCATGTACCTGAAGCTGCGCGGCCGCTGCCCCGTGCTGCTGCGCTGCATCATCTACACCTTATGGACGTACCTGTGGGAGTTTGGCACGGGGCTGCTGCTGAGCCAGTTCAACGCCTGCCCCTGGGACTACTCCGAGTTCCGCTACAACTTCATGGGGTTGATCACGGCAGAGTACGCCGTGCCATGGTTCTGCGCCTCTTTCATCGTGGAGCGCTTGGTCATCCGCAAAACACTGCGACTGCGCTTCCACGATGGGGCCGAGGATGGCTGGTCCATCCACCGGTCGGATGCTGGGAGGAGGATAGAGAGGAGCAGAGGGATGGGAGATAGTGCTAACGGTTACCTTAAAGTGGACTAAACAGAGGGAAGGACACAGTCTGAAAGCAGCTCAGTCGCTCTGCTACACCTCTCCTGCCCTCCTCAGACACATTGACAAGCAGTCCTCCTCACTAACTCTACTGGGACAATACAAACAGACAGCTCCATAGACTGGGCTGTTGTGCAGAGGTGTATCAGACAAGCCAAAAAACAAAAAACCTATAACTGGGGCTTCAAACGCCCAAATCACTCACTACTGTCAACAGAGGCACAATAACGCCATGCTGCTGTGTTTGCTGCATCTCATAACGCACCCATCTCCACATGGGGTCGACCTTAAGGACATCAGGGTCTTAAATGACCAGGACTACACTTTCTGTTTTTTTCTGTCCCATAGACTCCGAACAGCTCATGGATTAAAAACTAGCAGCTGCTGCAAAAAATGTGTGTTATCGTCGTGAGGCGGAACAAAGGAACAACAACATTTACTTGTGTTTCAAGGGCACATCAGTCAATCTGAGAGCAGAAAGAAAAGTAGCTGCAGTAATAACACAACCTTTTTAAAATGTACATACTGTTCTTTAGTATTATTCAAAGTACTGTAGTAAAGTAGCTGCAAGAAGCTCTTAAAGAACACGAAGTCCGCCCTGAAGCAATGTGTCGGCTTATGAATGTTTTCTGCAGTTAGTGAATACCCACAATGCCTGGAAAATAATGCATGAAAAAAAGTTGTCTTCCAATATAATATAATACATTTAATACATTCAGCAGTCGCACTGCACGTCTCTGAGGTGAGTCTGCTGTGTGTGTGTGTGTGTGTGTGTGTGTGTGTGCATGTGCGTGTGTTTGGAGACGACAGGAGGAGGTGGAGCTGGTCGACGTGTGATCACGGTCGACGCTCCTCCTGGTAACGTGTCGAAATGTCCTTGAGAAAAACCCCAAACTGCTCCAGATGAACGGGTCAATGCACGGCAGCTTCTCTGCATCTTAAAGCGCACCAAATAAAACACAGTCCATTCGTCATAACAGCAGGGACGCCTCTCTGTTGATGGTGATAATTATATAATAATTATGAGTCAGGACCATCGGCATTAATCAACAAACCTCTGGATGATTAATTCCTCTCAAAGCCTTTTCTTGACTCACTGTCTGCGTCTAATTCGTCCATATTCATGTTGTCTCAGATCTGCCAGGGTCTTGAAAGCTTTGTTTCGCTGGAAGTCCACACTCATTCCTTTGAAATCAGATAATTTACCTGTTAGACAAGTTTGTTTTGTTTATCGTAGGGAGGAAACTCTCCCTATTCTGCTGAATGTCCTATTACACTTCAAGTGTGACAGCAATAGTTGCAGCTGAATGACAGAGATCTGCTGTGTGTGAGGGTGTGAGTGATTTGGCAGATTTGTTTATTTGGACCTGAATATACAATCTTAAGACCACACTCGACATTCACAAGGATCAGTTTGTCCATTAGAACAATTTTTTGGGTTGTCCACTTTTGTTTTTCAAGTATTTGAAGCAAACTACAGTAACTGTGATTATTTAATGAGGAAACCTTTACATATCGCCTGGTAAAACAAGTAACTTTAAATGAACTGCTCATTTCTTTCCTATACGTGCATGTGAAGTGACAATAGATTTGGTTTCCTCAGTGAATATTGACCTTTGTGGTATTTTTCTGGACTTTGACTCTGTTTGTGTGAGAAAGGCCGCAGAGGTGAAGTTGCATATAATCCATGAGAGCAACTGTTTAACCAGGGACATTATCTCAACAGCACTAATGTCCTACATGTCAGATATTTGGTGCTTCAAGCAGATGACAACAAATAGATCAACACTTAAATGTGTTGTGTGACCTTCATCACTGCGGCTGCAATGCTATGCAGTTTTTCCCTCCTCTGCCTCAGATGAAGTGCTGCCACCCAGTGGACGATTCGTATACTGCAGCTGGAGACCTTTAATTTTGGATGAAATGAGAATGTACACAAACATATGAAGATGGAGAATCACCATTAGGATGAAGAAAAATGTTTGTTTCTGTGCCTGTCACGTTTCTAATTATTTTTCATTCATGACCAACCTGGCTTAAAAGCAATAGAGGTTTCTGACCCAACAACTCAACAGCAGCTAAAGCGTTTCATCTTTATCTTCTTCAAAAATCTACTCATGAGAACTGATATGCAGCAGATATCTTTATCCAATTCTACTGCTTTGATGAGACGAATCACAACAACATGCAAAATGAAGTGTATTTGTTCTCTGCAATACGTGAGTGGAGGAGTATTAAGTGAGTGTGTGTTATGTGTCGTACAGAGACACGTCTGTATGTGTATGTGCATGTTGAGTATATGCTAAAACTGAACTGAATCTCTGGTATTTTTACTGTGAGGCTGCATGTCTGAAAGTTTTCAATTAATCCTCCAAACTCTGACTCTACCCAAGTAGGTATTATCCCCATGTACTGTAATGGTTCATTCATTTTTAAATAAGAATGTAGAGGTTCTTAGTGAAACGACTGTACTGTATATCACTCACATTATGTTCATGTATGATTTATCAGAATTTGGGATTAAATGTATTTATTTGATCATAACAATCTGTGTGTTCATTTCTGTCTGATGATAAAACATTTCCCTCATGCATAGATAAATAGATCGAATCATTAAAACCTCCAAATGTTGGTGTCAACATGGTCTTTAAATGAAATGCAGAAAAATATAAACAACCAAAAGATATATGAACTATAGCTATAGATTAAATCATATAAAAAATAGATAAATACATACAGACATCTGATTATTAAAGATAAAGCTGTACACTCTATGTTATATAATGTAATATAATGTAGCCTCTTTATACTTTCCTAAAAATTAGTTTGACAAAATAAAACGAGAAAAAGATAAATAATCTTTCGATTTTTTTAGATTTGTGTCTTTTTCCCAGGAAAACAAAGATGGCTGTCTGTTGGTTTCCTGGAAAACAGAGTCACAACTTGGAAAAAGAGTTAAAAACATCTTTGTTTTCTATAAAGTGGACTAAATGTTTTTAACCAGGTGGTTAGAAGAGTTTCTGGAGAACACGACATCACCCTGGAAACAGCGGTAAGTACTTAAAACATCAGAAACTAGTTAATAAATAGAGCAGAACTAGCTAGTTGGGACAAGCTAATACAGCTAACTAGCTAACTAAATCTACAGACGTATATATATATATTTGCAAGTTTTATACTTGACAATGCTGCTGTGATATTTAAACTATTCTCTTCTTTAACAGAAGGACTGAGACAGAGTTTATAGGCACATTACATACAGTCACAAATAGGCTAGTGTCAAATCTAAAGGATTCAACCTCTGAGGACTCTCATTCAATAGCATCCATACTCATGAACTAAATCAACTCATAAAACCATTTATTCTACAACATGTAGGTAAAGGAAGTGTGTTGGTGTCAGTGAACTACAGTGTGATACAAGTGTTAAACACAGTGTACATGTCTCCCAGAAACATTATTGAGCTCCTCCGACTGCCTCTTCGTCCTCTGTACTACTTACTAAGTGATATATAAAAACATACCTCAGTACCTCATGGGCTGTGGACATAGAACTTGCTTGGATGTTTCCTCACTTTTCCTAATTGACTTTTAAAAAGAGACCAAATCAACTTCAGCTCCAGTCCAAAGCTGCAGCACATTCATTTGGCCACATGATGGCTCTTTTTCACCAAAAACCCCACAAGGCAGCTGTGCTCACACAGGCTGAGGACGCAGGTGGACCCTGAGTCATCAGTCTGCTTTTTAAGATTAAATGTTGGAGGAAGCTGTTTTTATGCCTTCCAAGCAGCGAGACATAGATTGGCTTAAAATACATCTTTGCATTCTGGACAGTTGTACGGTTTTATATGAACTCGTTTTCAGTCAATAAGAGTTCTTTGTTTTTAACCCATAATAAATTTATGAGGCTGGCGGTTAAGCTTAATAAAAAAATAAGTTAATAAGATATTTATGTGTGTAAGTAATGCTGTGATGACAGATTTGTTATAGCTGTTAACGGAGGCCTCAAGCCAAAAAAGTCATCTCCTCCCTATGTTGCTGCCGCACCTTGAGCCAGGTACCGAGAATGTGGGTCATTAACTTGTCTTGGCAAATCCTTTAATCTACTGTGAGTCCCTTGGGGCTCAGGCACTAAAGCAATGCCTACCTGCCTGTGTGAGGGTGTGGTCCACCTCACATTCTGCGGCAGGAACCTGCCTCATTTGACACAGCCACGTCTCCTCCAATCAGTCGCTCACACTCCAAATATGGAGATTCACAACCTGTAATCAGTGCGGTTGCAGTTGACGAGTGTCCTCCCCCGAGGCGGATTGAACGGCCTTCTATACGTGACACTGTTTTGTGTTCACGCATGTGTGGGTACTGTACTGTTCACAGTTTAGGTTTCATGGCCGTTCTTGTGTGACTTCTTTGTTGTCTGTGTCAGTCTGCTTGACAGGAAGTATAAATGGACAAAAGTATGGGAAGTAAAAACCTTAAACCTTAAGAATCAAGTCATAAACTTGCACCTGGTTCAAGTGATGGAGGGAGCAGGTTATATTAAACCTAACCCAGAGCACATGATATGTTTTCCTGTGTAATTAACAGGGCAACAATGAGACAGGCCAGGTTTTTTATTTGTAGGCAACATATTCATGTGCTGTCTTCACACTCTTCCTCATAAACTCATTACCAGATCACACATTCACAAAAATAACATCAACACAAAAACATCAACATATGCTTGGTTTTTCATTTGTTGCCTAAAACAAGAAATTTGAAGCTATTTTAAAACTATTTTTCAACTAAACTTTTAACCAATGAGTCAACAACACAAAACAATTGGCAGGTCGCTCCTTCATGAAAATAATCATTGGTTGCAGCCGGCAACTAAAACCTTTATTTATTCTCCAGCCTGCCAGATGCAAAGACCATATATTGTAGATAATTTGAGAAAATGACCAGATTCCACAATGTCTCACATTTTATCAGCAGAGTTCTTGTCACATCTATATTGTGATACTTCAGTCAGTACACTAACTGTGTGAAGGTGTGCGGGGGTGATTCTGTGTTTTTCTGTCTGTTTGGAAAGCTGAATGTTGGGTTGGCTTTGGAGAGTGGTGAGACAGGTGACAGCGTCATGGTACACTGACAAAATGAACAGTTCCATCCAATCAGGGCAAGACGCTAGCATTAGCATTTCCACTGAATCAGAGCCAGCAAAGAAAGAGCCCTCCATTGAAGGGAAACTTGTTTGACGTGTGAATGAGCGAATGCATCAGGCGTTTGCCGAAACACATTCATGCCTTCACAGCTTTGGACACAGGCCGGGTCTTTTGCTTAGATCCTGCTGGAAAACGCAAATGCACTTTTTTAGTCACTTTTTCCCCCTGTGTCGGCTGCTTGGCAGTCAGGCCCTCTTGCAGCCTGGGTTGGACAAGCAGCAGAGGGAGAACGGCTCATTGATCAAATGCTCTTCCAACTCTTGACCTTACTATACTGTAGGTCTTCACACTGCTCTGCTTAGGCCAAACAAATCGTCTGGAATGGTTTGTTGAAGTTGGTTGTCTTATTAGCCTGATATACCACATAGATTCATGCCAGATTTACACATCAAACTGAGCAGCACCAACTCAGTTTTCAATTTATGAGAACTTTTGCAGTCTTGTACAATACTCCCTCTTTTCATGAAGGTTTCAGTGTTTGATTTCTGCAGCAGACAGAAGCAGGAAGTAATGTATTAACTCTGCTGCGGAGATCACAGGATTTTCTTTACACAGACACAGACACTGGCATGATTCAAGTGTTTTTTTGGAAAATCCATAGCAAACATTGTTATTCCAAGTTAACAGAAGAATCTTTAGAAGATCTTTATTTACTTGTTTTATTTTATCCCTTGATTTGACAGTGACAGCCAAGAATAAGAGACTATAAAAGTCCCCGTCCCTGCAGGACGCTCCGTCTGCTGGTAAGTCCTTAATGGGAAACACCCACTGAATCTCACCATAAATTTTACAGCACAGGAAAACATGTCAGGCAGTGATTCAGTACCTGCAGATTTTATTTAGACCGACTTGGAATAAACAGAAAAGTTAAATTCTTTTCTGACGCGTTTTCCTCTAACAAGTCATGTAATAAGCCATTTTTCTCTGCCCTCTGCATTGCTCGAGATACAGCTGATTCGTAGGTTTTTTCCAAGTCGTCCCAGGTAGATTCTGCGAGGTAACTTTTAAAACACTCCTCAATAAGGCATGTGAAACACTTTGGGCCGTAGAGTGCTATGAGCAGATCCTGCATGAAAACAGTCCATGTTAAGGAGAGTCGGCCTCTCGTCTCTCAGCCCACTAGTAAAATTACGCTTCACATCTGGCAGGGCTCCCTGTGTAAAGCCACAACAGGCAGGCGGCGGGTTTGTGCATATTTAATGTTGACAGTTTAAACCTGTGGCCAGCTGTAGCACCTTAGAAACCTGCCGTTTTGTCAACGGTCACGGCTTATCTCCTGCGAGGCTTTGCATAACAAGAAGGAACGGCACTTTCCCACGCTGCTTTACATGTATTTAATTTAAGACAAAATTTGTTTGACATAGAAGTGTGTCGAGGAGGAGCTCTGACTGCTGCTGCTAATGTGGTATAAATCTGCACAGTTAACTCCTGAAGATAAAGTGTTCTTACCAAACCCTTGATTGAGGTGTGGCTGAATATGAAGGCAAACGGATTTAGAGGAGTTAGACAGGATAGTGGAGGGATCTACAACATTAACAACTTCAGAGCTGCAAAGTCAACATATTGCAGGCTATACAATTGGTGCAATGAGTAAGTGGTGAAAAGTGCTTTCACAACCAGGGCAGCATTCAAGCATAGATCTATGCCTGAGGTCAATGGAGAAACTGCCAAGAAGAGGAAATGTTCCTCTGCCCGTCTCTGTACCACACACTTCTATATTCAAACTCCCATTGTTTGCACTGTAAGTAATCAGATGATGACATCCTGGATTTCAGTCACATAAGGATACATGTTGTACTTTCTTTACTTCAGTGGAAAGCAGCCAGTGTTGTACTTATGTGTACTTTACTTGAGTGTACAAGTAATACACATTAGAGAGGGGATAGTGACCCAAGCTTCGGTCCTCCTTGGTCGGGTAGGGACCAACATTTTGGACTGATATTCAGTAAAGGCTGTGGATTGACAAGGACCTCAAGATACGATACATATCACAATATGATATATATATATATATATAGTAGCATCAGGCTTGAGTTGGGTGAAAACATACACTGCTGTGTGGCTACATCTTGAATGTTTTGTGGCCAGAAATAAACTAAACTTGAATAAATAATAATCTCTCCAGCCACTATTAACAGCAGCTCCTCTCTCCAGGTATATGGCAGAGAGTGGATTATGTTAATAGTTGCTGGCAGGAGAGAAAATAAGTTATTAAAATGAATGTGCTGCTGCACCTCCTGTGGTCCAGTGGTACAGCTGCAGGAGGAGCTTGACCCGGGCTTTTGGCGCACTGGGCCCATTCAACATCCATCCTTCCTCTGCTTCAGAGGACCTCGGTGTGTACATGTGTGTCTTTAATATGCATGTGTCATCCCTG